ATATATGTATACGAATTTGGCTTAAGATTGTGATTATTTCAAAATCTGATTTGTACATCAGTAAACTTGCATTCTTGCTTGTTATTGCATGTTAACAACATATTAAATTTTAATATTCAAAAAAAAAATTGCGGTGATGCGGAAAATAAAAGTGTGCTTTTTTAAGAAAAATATGTACATATTGCGTATAATATTAATAACGCAGTTTATTTGCGATATTAATAACGAGATTGATGCGTATTTAACTGATATTACGGGATTAGAAACGAGTACAACAGACATATGCTTTGGTTCGATCGTCAATACAGATAATGATATTGGATTTATGATAATTTAGATAACAGCACATATATTGAAGCAATAATCGAAAGAAGCCGTAAAATGCAACGGCGAGATGTAGAATGTGAGCATGCGTTTACTGACGGAATAAAACAGCTTTCTCGGATCGATCGCCGGCCAAGCCATACCCATTTTTCCACGTAAAGCGCTTTATTAAGCTTCAGTTTTTTTTTTTTTTACATCTATGCGATTTATTTCATATCATTTTTATCATTCGCAATTTTCATACAACTCGCATCCGCCCGTAATGTGCAAACGGAATTTAAATGCCGCAATTTTATAAGCCGCACGCCATCTCGCAACAGATTTCAATCTCATTTTTTTTTTTTATATAATTAAACGCCAAATTGAGAAAATTACAAATGATCTCGTTATAATATTATAAATAGTTATAATTTTACCTCCGGCTTTTATAAATTATAAGAGTTGCAAAGAAAGGAGATTTTGATTCTTTATGCTTTAATTATGAAAATGATATGATCATTTACGTTGCACTATTTGAATATAATTCGCGATAAAAGTATTGATAAAACTACACACACACGCATACAAATGAAATCTATATGAAAAAATTATTGGAATATCAAGTGAAAGAGATATTTTGATTGTTTAACTCGAGCTAGGTATTTTAGCTCGATAAAGATTTGTATCTATATCGAATCTGATGTTTTAGTCCAGATTATCGGCGACTGTACACTTATACACACGTATACATGATATCAAATCCATTCGCATCCTTGAGAGAGGTTTCTCCTCGGTAGTTCTCGCTATACGGAAACCTTAATGATCCAATCCCTTGAACGCGAGAAATTAGTCGACTTAAGCCGGGGTTCTGTACGAGAGAACGGCAGCTGGGAAATCAAATCGGTAAATATCGGTCGTCAAGATCCGACAGATTTTTTGTGGATTAAGGAAGATTAGATTGATCGGCGGCGCAACTTTCCTCTCGAATCCATCGATCGAAATGCGTGAATCGAGTAAAAGACACGCCGGATCGTTTGCTTTCCAAGATTTATTATTCACTTATCGTCTTTAGTAAAAAAATAAGTATGTGTGTGTGTGTAATATACATTCATGCGTGAGAATTTTTGTAATGTATGCTTTTAAGAAACGATTTTTTTTCCTCAAAAACAGTCTATTATATGATTGTGCATTTTTTGATTGATTTTAGTGTGTACATTTTTTTAGTTTTTTTTTTTTTATATTATAGAAAAACATATAATAGTTTTATTTGGACTAATTTTGTTATCAAAAATTATATCTTTCTGAAATAATTAATTCACAACTATTAAGAGATTTGAAAAAATGGATACTGCTTTTTGCATGAGATTGCAAGTTATTGAATAATTGCTCCTTCACAAATTTTTTCGTGAATTTTATGTAGGATGATATTATATATATACTCTCATAATTTTCAGTAAAATCTAACAAGTTATCTTTATAATTTCAAAGGATTATCTGTACCCACGTTTAATTGATCATCATCAAATAATAGCCCATGTATTCTCAATGTCTTTCTCGCAACATGTCCCCTGAGACATCCACGATACGATGTCGTTTACTATAGAAAGAAAATACTAATCATTCAGCGATCGACGACACTCTCGTCTACATTCAGAAATTGGCCATCGCAACTGAAAGGATGATTTGACTCCCGGTTACGTGGGCGCTTAATTCGTTTCGGGTGCGTGTTTCTCTCGCCTATCTATGCTTGTTCGTCCGGACAATAAAGCGTCATTTCCATTTTATCCCGTCGACGCCGAGAATGGATGGGAATACGCGTCCGATACGATCGTCCGATTGCCACTCCTTTTGTCCTTTACGCCGAAATCAAACGGAATTTATAGGATCATAAACGGTTAAACCCGCACACGCTCATCAACAAAAATACCCGCTATCATGTTCTTTGTCTGCGAGCCCACGTGGCGGAATCCGACGAAGGAAAGTAGAGGAGAGGCGAGTTCTTCTTTCGATTCTTAAACGGACCCCCGGCACGCGCTTTTACGACGCGTCGCTCGAGAACGTACGGATTTACTGTGTGAATCGGGCAATTAAAAACGTTTAAAAGCGTGTATACATAATGTTCGCGAACCCTCAATCTTAATTGTAAACATTTTGATAAATCGGGCAATCAATTTTTTGGAGATTTTTAAGATAAATCATTATTTCTCGTAGCTTTTGGAGATTTAGAGGTAAACATCTCGGTTAAATATTCCAATTAAACTATAAATTAAAAAAAAAAAAATCCGTTTGAGAGATCAAATTAAAAGAATAAGTCTTTTACATTTATTCGCAACTTCGAAGTTTAATTAGTAAGGATTTTTATATCTGCTCAGGAAATCTATCGATACGTTATCATTTCCCTCAAAAAAAAAAAAAAAAGATCTTCTCTAAATTGCAAGCTGGAACGACTTATATATATATACATGATATGTCTCGTGTAATTCGTCGGATTACTACTGATCAGGAAAACACGGCATGCATGTGATCGGAAGTCATAAATATTTGAAGCACTGTCGCGACGAATAAGGCACGTGACGTCCACGGTCGATGGACGCCCCGGCGAAATATTTATCATTTAATACCGCACATTTTGATAGGCTTTTTGTCATTTATACAGCGACGACCGGCAGTCTCGCGCGCGTCCGGCGAGAATTTAATTAATGACCACCGGTGTAAAGTGTGTGCGCACGCGGGAGATCGATCGGTATCAGATGTCAATTAGCGGCGCGCGTTGCGAATCGCATAATCGCGATGATGATAGTGTGGTAACGTGAAAAAAGAAGAAAGATCCTTGCACGAACTTTGCGATATCAGATTAATTACAATTTACCATTTTTCTAGAGATTTCTGTATATAAATATCTTTTTTTTTTTTTTGACAAACAATTTTATTAAATTATTTTTACAATATAACGATATTTTTTAATGAAAAAAACTGATTGTTTATAAAAGCATTTAGTATTGCATATTTAATCGAAGAAGAACGCAAATGACATCACTGTACCTGCATATCATATTGATATAAATAAAACGCAACGATGTTTTAACAGGGAAAATTTATACGGAAATAGATATAATGTATGTAGTTGTGGAATACACGCATACGTATGTATTCGGTGGCCGTCTATAATTCTAACAGAGCGAAATTCGCGCACCGCTCCACCGCGTCGTAAATACGAGCTGCGCTACTGTCGTATTTGTAATCGACGTAATCTGTCTAATACGACAATGAAGTCGGTTACCCATTAAACCGTTATTGAAACCGTATACGATTACGCGAATTACGGCGGTAGTTTCGACATGCACCATTGTGAGAGACACATACGTATCCCAAAACGCTCAGGTATATGTGCAAAGCGTCAATTGGAAACACACAGGCAAATATCGCGCAAATGCGTTTGACAAGATTACACGGTAACGATATATGACTATTTTATTTCACCATGCTGAAATTCTGTTTCGTATCAAATATATGTATCATCGTTTCAAAATACTTAATAATTTCGCGTTTCGACATACTCGTATAAAATATTCAGAAAGGTGTTAGCGTTTATAAGTAGATATATATTAGAACCGTGTAGAAGAGAACTACATAAAATCCAGTTCGATTATTAAACCTTTTAGCAGCATAAATTTTTCAAGATCTTTTCTGCAATTTTCATATTTCAAGATTTAGCTCATTTGATTGAACGTGGCTTTTTGCACAAATAAATATGTTCAAGAAGCTTTTCTCTTCTTTATCGATTCCCTTACTTCACTGGCTTCAAATTTATTCACCAAATAAGTACGTTTATTTCGAGCGACGGAACTTTTGGGGTACCTTTTAACGCAATTAGCAAATACAATTCAATCGCGCATGTATTTTCAAACAACTTTCACATAAATTTTCTCTATAAAAGGTATCTTATTTGGTAAAAATGCGAGAAAGATTCTAAAATTTAGCGAGATTTGGGGGGATGAAAACGCCGAAATTTACGATATAGAAACCAGAGCAGATGTCGCACAATATTTCCGAGGTTTCTATTACAGGCGATAAAAAATGGAAGACACACGTGAGAAGCCACATGGGGGCGCGTTGAGTAGTTTCTTTTCTAGGATGATGTGTGTGAATATCTGCTTTCAGGATAAACATACCGCCTCATGATATTCGATTCGGATATGTGAACATTGCTCTATTAAAACATATACTCTTGCAGGACGATCTAACTTTAACATAAATATCTGATTCTAATTTTTGCGATATGAGAGAGATTAATATTAAATCTATTATTTATCTTTAAAATAACGGTCAGATAAATTTTACCTTATAACTTGCGGAATAGCAATTTTGAAAGTGGATCGCGAAGTAACAACGGTAATAATTCAACGCGGTTTCATCGACGTTGCAAAAATCCGTGAGATGTAATTCGTCACGAAGAACGGTACAAGAACGTAACCGCGATATTTTTGCAGCGACATTTTCAAAATTGAATTGCTTTGCGCACACGTTGCGTCGCATCCCGATACGTGGTTTTTATTTTTTTTATTTTTTTTAGAGGGATGAAGAAATAAATGATATTTACGACGAGCTGTTTTAGTATGGTCGCAGTGATATAACGCGATTTATTATTATCTTTATTTTTCGGACATCTTTTCGTACACGACATTAAATTTATACGAATATACATTTATCGCTATTTTTTATCATCGTCGTATTGTTCTACCCGGCGTTTACTGCCGTAGTTTATCGTAATGCAATCTTTTTGTACATTCAACCGCAAGTGGACCAGGTCTTACGCGTTCTCTCGCACAAATCCGAATTCGCCAGCAAGCCACGTACGAGCATGGTCGTCAGTTGGTTAACCCGCAATATCCTAACTTCCGCTCGTATATGGTCGCCCTATTTGGCCATCACATAATTCGCGTTCTATTGTAAATACAATCATCTATGGTATACAATAATATATTGTTGGCTTATTCTATTTTTCTTCTTTACATATTATTCAATTTAAAATATAATTTTATTATAAAAAGTGATAAAAGAAGATAAAGAAAATTTAACGATAAAAATGGAAAGTAATAAATTATAAATTTTTATCTTGCTGTAATTTTTTAATTGGATTGATAGTCATACAATTATTTTTTCGATAACCACGAAAACAGAAAATTCTCGAAAAATATAACGAATATAAGTGGCCAAGATTTTTAGGAATATATAATCTGGAAACTTTGATGCATTCGAATAAATAAAAATCTTTTTGTTCTTTTCCTAAATTTTACAATACTCTTAATCGAATTATTAGTATAATTATGAAGTCAATATTTTTTAACATTTAGAATAAAACAAACGTTATCATTGCAAGAAAATAAAATCAACTGCGTATTGCTGCTCTTATTGCTAGCTCAAAATTTTTAAGTGTCGGAACTTGTCACGTTATCTTTGAGTCACTATATTACATACGCAGATATATTATCGTACGATAATATTGAATTCACGATACCACGATTAACACATTTCGACATGCGAAACTAATAAATCGCGAATATATTAGCGCACGCTGCTTAGCGATTCGTTATTGCGAAGCATAATCGCGCTCTGTCGGGAGCGAATCATTTAGAAATTTAATGTCATGAATGTTAAGTAACGCCCCTCGTTTGCGTCGCTCGTTAATGTACCGGGGGAGCAGGTAATTCGGTAAGCATAAATTTTAGAGCCGCCATTCCACCGCGCTTCCGGTCAATATTTCGATCGTGCCATATTCTTATCTGCATTTTTACTGTTTTTTGATCGCTGTTACAAAAAGAGGCCAAACTGTTTATAAATTTAACAATTAAAATTTGAACAAAATAATATAATACCAACGTTTAATCGATAATTGTGCGATAATTATCTCAGAATGCGAGAATTGCTACTGTTATTCGCGTTACTCATTTAGTTACAATTATTAGATAAAGTTTTATAGATAAAAGCTATTTTTATACAATGTTCGATGAATATTTTAAAATTGTTTGAATATATTATTATATCTGTATTATCATATTCCTAGAGTTTTGTAATATTTTCTCCATTGATTGTTACATTCTAAAGTCAATATATTTTTTTGATTGGCAATATTCAGGTAGCGTTCGATAAAAGGAGTGATAAAGTTATTTTATCGGATTATAGATTATAGACCGTGATACCGACGTTTATGAATTAAACCCACGTCTCCAGATATTACCGCGATATTGTACGACACGTTATTTGTGAGCAACTTCATAATACGACCCTATCTTCCCTTCATTGCAACATCGACCCTCCGATAATTCTAAAATTGAATACACCACACACACTTCTGATAGACGAAGAATACAAAGTGACGCGTAAAAAAATTTTTTTAATGAAAATATTCGAAAAATACTATCTCATATTTATAATTCTTATTTTATGGCAGATATTCTTCTAAATATTTATCGTGAAAGAGAGATAATAATTATATGAACTTGTTAAACTGACATCGATTCTCTAAATAATCGTGTTTTATAATTTAATCTTTTGATTGATATTATTGGGGTAAAATTTGAATTATATTAATTATATCTTTTGTCGACTCGAGCGTTATTATTAATGACAAATCATTTAGTGTCGAGAATCAGTAATGCACTCTGTATTATACTTTTGTATTTAGCTTGACGTATACGCGCGGGGTTGAACGTTGCACGAAGGCACTCTTGAACGTGACATCTTTTCACAAGATTTCAAGGCGATGACAAATGTCTTTTGCTTTGTGGCACGTCATCCAATGGAAAAGTTATTATGCATAATTTGCAACATCACAAACGAAGCCTTGATGACATAGATTATCAACAACAAAATATGAGGAAACGACATTCTAAAAGTGAATCAAAAGCGTGCATTTACGTTAAAGAATATATTTCGCAAAACACTAGATCTTTCATTATGCAAACTTAATGATATATCTTTAACTCTTTCATGAGAGAGAGACGAATTTTAAGAAACCGAATCTTTGAAATGGATATAATGATTGAGTCGTTTTAGCAGCAGTTTCAAGAACAACATTTTTATTTACTTTTATTACTTTTATAGTTTACAATCAGTTACTATATATATTTTTATGATTCTTATTTATATGGGTATTTGTACTCCCTTGCTTCATTAATGAATCTAGAATTGCGGCTGAATTATATCTCTAGTGATTCGCGCGAATCGAAGCGGAAAATCAGACTTCGACTATGTAAATCCGTGAATTATACGCCGGCCGCGATCGTATCGAATGCAGAGATAGTTTCGTAATAGATTCGTAACTTTTAGTCGCGCTTTCGTCTGGTCCGCGGTTGTTCGATCGACCATCCCTTGGTAATTCTACGATTAATGCGTTCAATCCGTCCCGCATTACACGCGCGCTATCGCAGCACGCGACGATTTGCGTGGAGAACACAATCGGTTTCCCACCGATTTTCTATTGCGTAAACGCGCGAATGGCGAATTTGTTGCCGTTACAGATGTTACTAATATCTACGAACATCAATAATTCTTGACATTAATCTTCCGACGCAACGTTTGCGATGTAATTTTAAACAATATTTCTGCTGAAAAACTGTGTTTGTTAGTTATTTTACGTTTGTCAAAATCAAGCTGTCGTGAGAAAATTCAAATTGTTTGAATTAAATTCTTGTATTTTAGAAAAATGTGATCACAACAAAATGCTATATATAAATTATTGATATATTTATTATCAAAACCGTTCGCACATAAGATTCCCCATATATTATTTTGAGACTTTCAAGATTTTTCGATGGTACTCTGAATAAATAGTAATACAATTATTAGATACATTTACAAACATTACACAATTTTTATAAGAGAGAGACTCATGAGTAACAGGGAGTTTTACGTTAAATGTTATATCGATGATTTCATAAAAAAACTTGATAAAAAATGACATGAAGAGCCCTTTGAGCATGTCATATTTATATATATCTCTCCGAAATTTAATTATAACAGCCAGAAAAATCTACATGCAGATTAGATGTTTAGGAGGTATTAGACATAGAAATAAAATATTTTTTTATTTAAGTGGCATATGTTTGAATAATCTTAAGTGTTTGTGTGTATATATATCTTGATTTTATCTCTCTTTTTTTTCGCTAACAAGTTAAATTTTCAATACTGATTATAATATTTTTAGGAGAATAATATTTCTTAGAAATATCAGAGAATGCCGGAAGATTCTGTCGATAGCGCAGAATATTTGTTATTTAAACATGGTCCACACAATCATATATATAATATTTTCAAATATATCTTCGTCTATGATATCGAGTGTTTATCTTATTTGGATTAAGACGGTTAACCGCATGTGTGTAACCGCGTTATCCGAGTTTACTGAACTCGGGAAGACGGTAATATACGCACCCGAGGACGCCGTGAAGCCGGCGTGCATGGCGTACCGCGGCGCGGCCATGTGCTGGGGATGCGGTGCCGGCGGGAGGGCCCCGTGCGACGCCGGAACCGTTGTCTGAGGGTGGACCGTCGCCGTCGGTCTCGAGAGTATTGTGTCGATGCCGTGAGGGTTACTGCCGACGGAGGTGATGGACGTCGCCGGGCTGTGTTTGCCGCTACCGGTGGGCGACGATTGACCCTGGGTAATGGTGCGGGAGATCGAGTCTCTCTCCCGTGCCTTCGTCCTTGCCCTCGTCCTCGCGCGCGCGTTCCGGAAATCCCGCGTCAGGGGGAGAGGCATGTCGGCCCTCGACGCCAGTGGATTGGCGTGCTATCCATGGGTCGTTTAAGTGTTTGGGGGCGGTACCATCATCGGATTGGTCGACCTGGTGGCGTTTTACCGGAAGGAGAGGTGTTCCGGGCGGGGCCTCTCAATCTCGCGTTAGCTTCTTGTTAAGCGTCTTTCATTGTGTGTTTAAATTCGTAATTTATGATCCCGACTGAATAAAACAAGAACTTGCTGGTTCGCTCGCTCACTCGCTCGTATGTTCGCTGGTTGCCTGGCTGGATGGCTGGCTGGCTGGCTGGCTGGTTGGCTGAGTGAGCCTCTTGGCTCTGAGACTGGCTCTCTAGTTTGTTCGACGACTGGGCACCTCTGGCACGACTACGGTGACACTACTGTCTCGATAACTTGCTTCCTTCCTTCCGTCGTTCCTTTCTCGCTATACTTACCCATCTCCCTTTTACCCTCTCGCTTCATTGTGTCTCGCTCTATCTTTCCCACCCGCTTGACTCCTACCTACCCACCATCGCCCCGACCTTTCAGCCAGTCAAGTACGCGTAGACACACAGAGCAAATCGAATTATTTGCTGTCGATGGTCCATTTGGCCTGCTCCTCGCTCGCTATACATATGCCGATGCACGTGTCAACGAGAATTCGGTTACTTCATCCCGATGAACCATCGTCGCGCCGCGGCGCGCGGCTGACGTAACTAATGTCGGATGAACTCGCCGGCTCTCTCCGGCTCTGGCAACCGACCAATGTAATGTCGGCCGCTTCGTCGCTCGCACCCGCTCGTCTATTGGATCCGCGTTTTAGACTCGCCTTCGACCGAACGGATAATTTACGGCGGTCGACTGCACTTTGCGCCCTCGGTCATTAAGCGTCGT